ACACTCCTAAATACTCCTAAATACTCCTAAATACTCCTAAATACTCCCAAATAGCACATTTATGTCTTTTTTTTCTACATCAAGTTGTGTTTCCCTGTATCATTCAGCCATCTGGTTCAATCCACCTTTTGCTAACTGAACTGACGTAGTTTAGAGGTAGTCCCCCCCCCCATGTGAGGGGTGGATGAAACTGCCTCTCTAAGAAGTGTTTTCTGTCAGAAGAGCATCTCCAGACGGCCAGAGCTTCCGCTCTCTGGGAGACGAAAGCCCCAACGAGCACAAGAGGAAACGGAACCTGCTCAAACACGGAGGAGGAGGAGAGGAGTCTGATGAAGACTATGAGAACGTAGGTAGAGCTGTCCCTCTAAAGGCCCGACCACCCTCAGCCGGCTGACTGGGAGGAAGTCCTCTCGTTAGATTTTGACCAGGCTTTGTCTTTCATTTAAAATAAGAGCTCTTTTTCAAGTGCATCACCCTGTGTCACATATAACGTTTATAAATATGAATATATAGATTTAATCTTGCTTGTTTCTTTTACAGGTGCAGCTGCCAGATTCTGTGTTCATCGACTCAACTGAAACCAGTTTTGTGGAAAAGTACGAGAGACAAACACACACACACACACACACACACACACACGCACACATTTGGGCTTTTACAGTAGATCAGAGAGCTGAGTCCAGACCTCAGTGGAGTACTTCTGCCCTCTAGTGGGAGAAAGCTGGGGGTTTGCCACATGTATTTTAAATGCATACAGTGATCCAAAAGTGTCTCTCTTCATGTAACCTTTAACCTGTCGGGATGTTTGTGTTTGCAGGTTATTCAGAGAGGGCCCCGTTCCTCCTCAGGACGGGCTGTATGGCATCAGAAACTCAGGAACCAAGACAACAAAGGTAAAAGACTAATAGCCAATGCTCAGATCATGTGTATGAAGTATGTATAAAGAGTAGAACAAAAATGATATTCAGCATATATAAGCCTGGATACATCAAATCATCCTCATTTGATTAAATTCAGTTCATTTTTAACATGTATTGTCATTTATAATGATTATTATTAATATTTATTAGGAAAGAAAGAGACAGAGTGGTTCAAACCACCATTAGTTAGTTAATTTGAATAATTTTTAAGACTCTTTGCTACCAGCAGTTTGTCATAAAGATGCATATTCAGATTGTTGCCCAATTCTTCAGTTGAATCTGCTTAAAGATTATATAGTTTGACAAAAACCAGGTGGATCACAATGTGACACAAATAGTTTGAAGAGACTGGACCAATGGAGCACAGAAGCAAAGGCCTAAAAATAAACTATCCACAGCAGGAAAATAGTCTCTGAAAGTAATGTACTTAGAGGAGAGAATCTAACAGACTGACTCTGGACCTGGACCTTTAGAGAGCCTCTATAAGTTCAAGCTTACCAGACATGTCTAAACTTTATTTCAGAGCAGTGTACTGTATTTCAATTTATGCTAACCTTTTTTAGTTCATTTCTGGATTTGTTTCCCCTTTCTTTCATCACGTAAAGACTTTTGACATTGAAATCTAACCAAAGTGTGGCCAAGAATAGAAGCAGTAGGCGGGAAAATTAAACAAAATGTCCACATTTTGTTTCATGAATGAAAGCTTGTTGCTTTTCCACCATTCCACACAATGACTGTCTCTCACTATCAGTGGGCTGTCACACATTTGAAACGTGGTAGCTGTTGGACAGGTCAGAGTCTGGTGTCTGAGGGGCTGTTTTGTGTTGTGTAGGTGCTGGTGGTGTGGGACGTCAGCATAAACAAAGCCAGAAACTACCGGCTGTTTGAGGAGGTGAGAAACACCTGCTCTCTGCAGCACACTGACTGTGGGGTCAGATACGTTTTACTCAGCTTTCCCCTGTTGTGTGCTGCGTTTACAGGGTGACTGCATATTTCTGGAGGCGGAGCTGACCTTCCCTAACCTGCCCTCCCTGATTGAACACTATTACAGCCACCCTCTGCCCCAGCACGGCTCGCTGTGCCTGCAGAAGCCCTACTCCCTGTGAGCCCTACCCCCCCCCGGACTCTCCTCACAACTGCTCTGGAAAAACACGGTTTTGTTGGGCATTTAAGTGTAACTAAACTCCAGTTTTCACATAACGTGCAATCCTCACTCTGATCCTTGTTCTCAGACGGGTGCTGTGCCCCCATAGGGGGCCCTAAATCCTGTTTACCAAACATAGTTTATGAACTTTTTACTTGAGTGTAAAACATGACTTTAACTGTACCTATAAGAGAGACAGTTTTTCTTTTTTTTACCATACAGATGTAGATTTTTATTGCTTTTAATTTAAAAGGTGAATAACTGTTTTGGTTCTGACACAAGTGTATTATTTAGTAAACTGTAAGAAAATAGGCGGTGGTGCTGGATAACTGTTGGAAGTGACGCTTCTAGAAGAGAGACTTGATTGTATGACTCCAGATGTGCAAGCCCTTATAAGTCCAAATGTGTCACCCTGAATAGATGCAGACACAATTAGCCTTAAAAGTCAGTCAGTCAATATTCAAGCTTACTTTTTGCAATTAGCAGCCATTTTGTTCAGGTGTGACGTCCAACTATTGTATTTGGATTTGATATTTTTTTATTTAATAGTGTTCAAAAAACATTTACCAGTGTTCCAAGAATGACATGAAAAAATGTTTGTGTGAGTGAATGAGTGAATGAGTGGGTGAGTGTGTGTGTGTGCGTGTGCGTGTGTGTGTATAAGTGTGTGTGTAAGTGGGAATGCACAATTCTGCAAATGCAATTTATAAGGCACTGAAATTTGTCCAATAACATGCTTTTCTATATTTATATGAGCAATTTGTATGTACTGTACAAAGCTAAACTGTAAAACATGTAAATATATGGTTTTGTACAGAAATATATGTTGAGAATTTATAAAGAAATACATTGATCCTGCTGTTTTGTCTCAATATTTATCTATGTAAAGAGTTAGATGCTATCAGACAGTGTTGAACACCTAGTAGAAACTCTCAAGATCTATTTGTCCCTAACTGGCTCCGGTTTTGTCTTGTCAGGAGGAACTTGATGCTGGTAAGTCAAGATGAACATGTCTGTATTCTGCAAAGTGGAGTTCCTCCCTGAGCTCTGACTGATGCACCTGCTCCAGAATCAGACCGTCAGGATTCACAGCCATGCTACGCTACCCCCAGAGTAGCACGATCCCTCTCCAGTTCCAGCTTTTCTCTTATTCCCAATGTTTTCTTCCTTGGTTTCATCAGCCAGTTCTCAAACTGGTTGCCTGTGAATGTTAGTGTTTCGGATTAGTAGCTCAGCTGCAGCTTGTCTTCATAAATAGGTTTGAGTTAATTATATCAGTGACATTAATGAGCAATGTCTGGTGTTTGTCAAACTCTGTGCTTTAATTGGCCTTTGTGTTTAACACAGGAATTGCAAAGTTGTTTATCTGAGGCTTTATCTTCTTCATTTTAAGATCTGCTTCCAATGTAAACAAAGAACTGGAGCTTTGGGATTTATTTTCTGTCAATCAATGAAACAGTTTTAGCACATAACCCCAAAAGTGTAATTCAAACACAGAGCAAACATAACACATGAACCTGGAACAGTTCCTGTGAGGATGTGCACAAGTTTTTGCATCCAAAATCTATGATCAGTGTCATCATTGTTATGATCTCGGTGGTTTACCACCTTTACAACAACACTTAATTGCGTTTATTCTACTTAGAACATTTTAACAAATGTATTTTACACTGTCAACTGTGTTAAACAAAATAAGATAATGCTGGCGTATTGGCTCATTCATCAGCATTCCTGTCTAATACAGGCTGTTTGGCAGTGGCCTTATAATGCCAGCCACCTCCATCATTACCAAACTCTTCAAACAACACTTATATTTGCACATTGACTCGTTTTGTTTTGGAGTTCTGCTAACTAGTTGTGTAAAGAGATGTTACGTAGAGATATTAGCAATCAATCTTTTTTTTTTTTTTTAAGTTTCTAATGAAATCATTTTAGGGTAATTGGGGTAAAAGTTAAAAGCAGTGCTTCTTTACATTGTTGACATAATTCTAATTTAGGCTCATTGGAAGCAAAATGTTGGTCAGGCAAAGACAAGTCAGCACAGTGTGATTCAGAGCGGTGTGAGGATTAACCAGAATATCTGCTGCAGTTTGAACAACACCGGTCACTACCTGGAAAATGTGAGAATTTGGTTATTTTGACCAGACAGGCAAGCTTATCTTGTCAAACTGTGGGAAAATACTAAAGCCTGTCAAAGAATATTCTTCTCTCACGTATTAACCCCCAGACAGTTTTCAAACAGCAACTGTGTTTTGTGTTAGCAGATGAAGATGTTTTAGGGAAAGGGTTCTCAGTTAAGACTGAGTCATCTCCCTCTCTTTAAAACCATGATTTCAACCATGTTAACATGTGTGCAAGATCATTTCGTAGGTTTGAAAAAGCTAAATAAGCTACTGATGGTGGCTGTGGGTTTCTTGATGGAATCACATTGCAGAGAATAGATTAAATCCAAAGCAAACACAAGCTACAGAGGATGTACGATGGGAAAAAACAGTAGTAGCAGCTAAATCCTGTTTTTAACTGAAAATTAAAACTTTCCTGACACTTGCATGTTTGTCTAGTTGAGAATCAAACTTGTAGGGCTGAATGACTTCAATTTCAGATCGACTCACCAGAGCATAAACTGAGTCAAAGTAAACATGAAGGGCATTATCTGCTGGCCAGATTCAGATTAGCATATATATAGATCCACATTCTCTGTGTGGAAAGAATCAAAGTCTTATTCCTCTGCTTTGTCTCCTCCAACTATTGTGGAGTGGAACACTGTGCACATACAGACATTACAAACATTATAGGTGGACTAAAGCCATTACACGCATCGAGACATGATGTCCATAAAAGTTCCTGTGCTGTGAAAATAAGAATGCTCATTTTCACACGTATTAATATAAATGCTGCGCAAATGTTCTGAGAAAAATGACAAGACACCAGATATGTATGTCATCTAGAAAGTGGAATATTTTCCCAGAATACGTTTCCTTTTTCTGCTTTAAATATTTGACAGGTTTAAATGTGATGAGTGGAATGAGGTGAGAGAGATGGGGCTTATCCCAGCAGCCGGTGAGTCAGGATCCAACTTCTGATAAATTACTGATCGCTGAGTGTCTTCAGGTTCACTGGTCTGCACCCAATGTAATCATGAATGCTGGGATCATCTTTTCACAGACACTCTGCACATCCTTAGAATGAGAGGCATTGTTAACAGTGAATAGTGTGGGTCTTAGATGTGGTAGTGCATTATGATAAAGTTATGTTTATGTTTCTGCATTTAGCAGACGCTTTTATCCAAAGCGACTTACAAAGTAGACACAATTTTACAGTGAGTTCTCTGGAGGAAAACCCCCAGTCAGAGTCAGTGGAGACCCCAAAGAGAGAGAGAAGGAAGCCCAGGAAGAGGAGTAGAGGTCCAGAGGTCTGGGAGGAGTTAGGATAGAAGCTGCTCTTGGAAGAGGTTGGTCTTTAAGAGTTCCCTAAAGATATAAAGGTGCTGTTCTTGTAGCGCTTGGTGGGTTATTCCTCCATCTTGGAACGTCAGCTGAACAGTCTGATTGTCTTAACGTGGGTCAGCTCTGCTGGACCACAGCCCGCTGCTGACCGGAGGGACCCGCTGGGACCTGAGTCTCTGAGAGAGGGTTCAGGGAGCCAGGAGCCGGACCCTTAAACCCTTCGTAGGCCAGCATCAGGGACCTGAGTTTATTCTGCTGTGGTCACAACAATGTGCTGCTCAGGCGGTCACTGTCTGTGGTCCTGAACTGACCGTCAGAGTCCACACAGACTCCTGCACCCCCGCCCTGGTTTAGGTTTGAAAGCAGGTCGAACAGAGCTCTGTTT